CCTCCATGCAGCCCTGGCCGGGGGCTCCCAGAGGGGAAGTGCCAAGGGTGGGATTGCAGGAGCTGGGCTGGTGTGCAAGGAGCGTTTATTGAGTGCCTGCTGCATGTAGGCATGAGGCCCAAGGCAGTTAAATGAAGCCACCTGCCTGGGCTTGCATCCTGGCTCCACCTCTTCCTGACGCCTCAGTTTCCCCAGCTGAAAACAGGACCAATAAAGTGGCCACCACCCAGGGCTGCAATGCAGGACTGGATAAGCAAATACACTGAAAGCGCTTAGAGTCTGGCGCACGTGGAGCCTGTAGTGGTATTAGCAGCAGTTAGCGGCTGCCTCCGTGATCACGGTCAGGGTCATCTGGCTTGGCGGGCAGACAGCGTCAGGCCACAAAGAGGGTTTACGTGGGGACTGGGAAGCGCCTTAAAATCACCAAATCTCTCCGCGACAGGGTCGTGCTGAAGACCCCCCACGACCTTCCAAGTCCCAAGCCGTGTGGCTATAACGCCTGGCCGGCTCCCCTGCTTCTCCTCCAGCCTCTGCCCGCATCTGCCCGCCGGACCAGACTGGAGGGAGAACCGGCGGCCCCGCGTGGCAGGTTGGGTGGTGGGGGTCCCCCATCAGAGCCCGCCACCACCTGAGGGCCTGTAAGTGCCTCCGGAATCCCACCACCCGCCTCTCACCGCTTCCCAAGACCCTCGGCTGAAAACCAGGAACCCCTCAGCGCGTATCTCTGCACCAAAGGAAGATCACTCACACACACCCACGATGTCGAGCCAACTTGCTTGCTTTGGGGGCGTGTGTGTTTAAAAACAAAGAAAAGAAAAAAAAAAGGAATGGAACACTGGCCGTAAAGGAAATGCAGACCGGGACTGGGATATGGTTTTTCACCCACTGGGTCGGTCAAATCCAGACGCCGCTAACGCTTGGGGTAGACGCAACTGCGGGAAAACAGGCGCGCACGCGGGCGCCTCCGTGGGAGGACTTTGGGGTCTTTCCCGAGTGACCACACCCTGCTCCCCAGGGAGGTACCCTGCAGATAAGCTCTGCACACTTGTGTGGGGTGACACAGGCCAAAGGGCTTAAAGAGTCTCCTTCTAGGAATGTCTGTGAGACACAAAGGCTCGGAAGCACCCGAGTGCCCAACTCCCTGGGGCTGGGGCCCAGCACTGGAGTACTACATGGCAGTGAAAAAGGATGGGGCACCATTTCCTGGGACGATGGTAAGCAAAGATCTCCGCTAGAAAAAAGCCAAGGGCAGGAACTTGTGTTTGCAAAGGTGGTGGGGGGAGGTTGCACATCTGGTGGACTTCAATGGGTGGGTGTGAAAGGTTTTCTGGGAGGGGACACAGGAGAGAGTAGTGGGAAGTGGAGGTGGGTAGGCGCCTGGGGAGTGGGGGGTGTTGTCTCCGTGATGCCTGGAGAACACTGAGAAGGTACAACCTACTGTAATGAGGATTCAAATGCAAATCTGAAGAATCATCAGATTTCCTGCCCGTTGGGGAGGTACCCACCAGCCTGGGTGACCCTGCACAGGGTGGCAGGGGATGCTGTTTGCTCAGGTCTGGTGGCCCGCCCCCCCCTCCACCCGCACCTTGTCTGGGCCCCTCGCTGGAGCTGGGTTTCCCGGCACGGCAAGCAGGGTGCACTGTGGGTAACCCAGGTGCTAACCATCTAAGTGTGGCTACGCGTTGTCTGGTCATTAGCGCTTAGTATGTGCCAGGTGGCTGCATTTACCGTCTTTTACTTTTTAGACACTCACGAGGCCTTCACTCTGTGCCCAGCCTGTTCTATCAGAGCTTGGCGAAGTGCAGGAGCCTCCAACATTAGCAGAGGAGGGATTTCAACTCAGACCTTCAGGCCTCCGGTCCTCACGCTGGAGGAAGACACCGCATCCATACCCCGCGCCCCGCCACCCACGGCCCCCAGCGCCTTGCTCCAGCCCCTTCATTTGCGCTGCTGACCCGTACCCCAGACTGCAGGCCCCGCCTCCCAGCATCTGCCCAGCTCCTGCAGGACAGCCTTCTGCGGCTCTGCAACGCCTACTCGTCCTACAGAGCCCAAGTGGTCTGACCCACCCCCACCCCCAGGCACCCTAGCTGTGCCCGTCCCTCGGCGTGGGGGTCCCCGAGGACCGGCGGAACTGAGGCCTCTGCCCCTCCCCCACCAGCGCGACCACCCCCCACCCCACTCACCTCTACGAAGTAGAAGCAGGGCAGAAGCGTCATGCTGTCCTTCGGGCTTTTATTCTTCTCCTTGGTCGAGATCATGGTGCCGGGGGCGCCACAGGCCGTGGTGGGAGGGGACGAAGCCGCGCTGGAGGAGGGAGGGGCGCAGACTGAGCCCTGGGGGGACGCGGAGCCCGGCGCCCGCGGAGGAGGGGCGGGCCAGGATGCGCAGGAACCGCCCAGGGAAACTGAGGCCGGGGAGAGGGGAGCCCCCGGCCTCCCCCGCGCACTGCGGCCCTGCCCAACGCTCCGGCTGCCACTCCGGATGGGGAGCCGGGAGGGGGCTCGGCAGAGAGGGCGGAGACGGCCTGGCCGAGGGGCCTCCGGGCCGGGGTCCGTCCCGCGCGTCAGGGCGGGGGCCTTCGGGACCCGAGGAGAGGTGGGGTCCTCGCTCAGCCCGAAGGCCCCTCACCTGGCGCGCCGGCGTTCTGTGGGCGGAGCTGGCGGCGACGGGGGCTGCGGCGCGGCTAGCACAAAGCCGGCCCCTCCCCCGCGGGGGCGGAGGGGAGGCGGGGAGGGAGGGGCCCCGCCCGGCCCGAGACCCCGCGCCCGGCGGCCTAGAGGCGGCGCTAGGGGCGGGGGCTCTTTGTCTCGACGCGTCGGGGGCGCCGCGCGCGTCCGTCGCCGTCCCCGCGCCCCCTGCTCCCGCGCCCTTAGTCTCTGGGTCTCCGGGGTCTCGGTCTCCCGCGGGGGCGGGCATGGGCCGGGGTTTGCGGGCTCCTCCCCTCCCGGACCTCTCGGATGGGCCCGGGGAGCCCCATCGAGGCCGGGCGCTGGGAGACTGTCCTGGTCTCCGGGTTTCTCGCCTCTCTGCCCCCCTTTCCCGGCGCGCGTTTCCATGGCGAGCTCCCGGGCGCCCGAGCCTTCGGGAGACAAAAGAAGCTGGGGGTGGGGGGCCGCCCTCACTCCCGGGCCCCCGCACCGCGCACCGCCCACCTGTCCCCTGCGCCCCGCCGGGGTCCTCTCTCCGCTCGTCCAAACCCGGCCCCTCGCCGGGCCCACAGCATCCAGGACGCACGGCCCGGGATGCCCCGGGATGCGCGGGCGGCGGCGGGGCCCTCGTGGTGAATTCACGTGAGGCTCACTTAGGCAGCGGTTGCTCTTTTGCAGGTGTTTCCTCTTTTCCACACACAGCCATGCGGGGTGGGACCAGCTGACCGTCATTTGACAAGTGGGGAAGCTGAGGCCCCCGGGAACTTAAATCTCTGTCCACGGTCTCCAGGCCCCGCTGAGAACTGGAACAGACCCCCAAAATCAATCCCGCAGTTAAGCGTCCAGTTAAGGTCGGGGGTGAGGGCTGCACGGATGGATAACCCGGTGTGTGCAGCCATTGGGCTTTATTCGCACGCAGCTGTTCACACTCCAACCTGGTCCTGGCCGTGGCCCTTCCTGTTTTAAGAGACTCAGCTGCATGTGTCTTCAAAGATGACTGTATGCGCGGTTAAGGGTGGGGCCCAGAGGGTTTGAATCGCACCGGGGCCTCCATTTGCTCACCTGGAAATGGGCATAACAAGGCCGCTTTGCGCATGGGGCACACCGGAGCTCTCTGTCCTGCCTCCCCAGGCCTGATGCCCACTGGGCCTCGGTTTCCCTGCCAGCCAGGGGCGGAGCCTGGGCTGGGCAGCCGTTGGGAATCCCGGTGTTGAAAGGTGACCACAAACAGCCCTCTGGAGGCGGGAGGAGGGGAAAGTGGGGCAATCGCTCTTGGGGGCCTCCTGGGGGGGGGGCAGGAGCAGGAAGGGGTGTCCTGGGAGACCCTCCTGACAGCTCAGGGCAACAGGAGAGGGTCTGGGGGAGTATCAGGAACCGAGGTGGGGGTATTCTTCCTGTCGATCCCCAGCGGTGGAGGAGCGAGGCCCGGCTGTGATGGCACATGGCCCAGCAGTGGGGCCTGGACTTGCTTCTGGGGCACTAGGGAGCCATGGCAGAGTTTAGAGCAGGGAAGAGGGATTGAGCACGCTAGGTGCTGCTCAAAGACTCTTGCACGTATTAACCCACTCGACGCTCACCACAGCTCTACTGGGGGTGTGGCAGGAACTGTTCACGTCCTGGTACCCAGACAGGGAAACAGGGCCAGAGAGGGGCCCTTGAGGTCACCCAAGTAGGAAGGGATGGACCTGTGGGCTTCGGAGTCACCCATCTCTCTGGCTGTGCTCTGCGCAAGACAGCAGCCTGGTCCACGGGCAAGGACAGGGTGGGCGGCAAGTTGGGCCCTCAGGAGGGAGGATGCCCAGGTGAGATCCAGGGAGAGTGGAGACGGGAGGCAAACTTGGGGGGACACTGGTCTGAGGCAGAGGCCATGCGGGGGACACGGCTGGGCGGTGGGACCGTGAGACTCGGCAGGGACCAGGCCTGAGCCCCAGAACCCCACCATTCAGGCTGGGTGGAGGACTGCAAGTCCGCCCTGACCCCTGTTCCCGCCACCCTCCCCAGTCCTGCCTTGCGAGAGCCCCCTCGAGGCCCCAGACAGGAACTGGTGTCCTAGTGTCCTGAGACGTGGGGTCCACCACCAGCCCCAACCTCTTGGTGTCTCCTTGGAAATAAATCCTATTTTTTTGAAATTGAGCTGTCAAAAATAAGTAAAAGTAAAAATAAAAATAAAAAATTGAGGTGAAATTCACATGACATAAGATCACCCATCTTAAAGTATCACATCCGCTGGTTTTTGGAAGGAACGCTCACAGAGTTGTGCAGCCAGCTAATTCTAGAACATTCCGTCTCCCCCAAAGAAACCCCATTTCCTTCAGCTATTATTCCCCTAACCCCCTAACCCCCCCAGCCCCTGACAACCAGGAACCCACTCTCTGACTCTGTGGATCTGCCTGTTCTGGACGTTTCCCATCAATGGAGTCACACCCTGTGTGTCCTTCTGTGTCTGGCTTCTCTCACTGAGCATCGTGTTCTCGGGGTCCGTCCACGTGGTAGTGAGTGTCAGAGCATCACCCCTTTTCACGGCTGAGTGATGCTCCCATGTGTGGAGGGACACGTCTGTCTGTTGAAGGGCATTTGTGTTGCGTCCACCGTTTGGCCACTGTGAACACACGTGTGCAGGTTTCTGAGGCCCTGTCTTTCGTTCTCTTGGGCACGCACCTAGGCGTGGAACTGCTGAGTGATATGATTATTCGGTGATTAACGTTTTGAGGAGCCGCCAGGCCTTCCCCGGCCCGCGGCACTACTTTACATCCCTGCCAGCCTGTCTGAGGTTCCAATTCCCCACCTCCTCACCAACACTGTATTTTTTCTGCCCTTTTCATTCCAGCCGTCCTAGTGGGTGTGAAGTGGTGTCTCGCTGTGGTTTTGATTTGTGCATTTCCCTGATGACTAATAATTTTGAGCATCTTTTCACGGCATGTTGGCCATTTGCGTATCTTGGGAGAAACGTCTATCCAAATCCTTTGTCCATTTTTAAGTGGATTCTTTGTCTTTTTGTTGTTGAGTTGGGAGAGTTCTTTATATATTCTGAATACTCAACCCTGTCTTTCTCTCCCCTTGGCCTCATCTCTTGCCCAGGCTCTGAGTGCCTGAAACCTCTGAAGACCCTGCTTCAGAAGGGGAGACAACCTCTCCAGGACCACCTGGCTCTGGGGGCTCCATGGCCGCACCTGCCCACTTTAGAGATGCACAGACTGAGGGCGGGAGAGTGACCCGGCCAGGTGCCCACAGATAAAAACCCTGTAAGTGAGAAGCTGGACACAGAAGACACACAGTGTGTGATTCCATTGATGGGAAATGTCCAGAACAGGCCAGTCTACAGACAGAGAGTGGGTTCCTGGTTGTCAGGGGCTGGGGGAGGGGAGGGGGAATGACTGCTGATGGGGACGGGGCTTCTTCTGAGGTGATGGAATGTTCTAAAATTGGGGTGGTGGCTGCGTAACTCTGCAAAGATACTAAAAACGATGGAATTGCACGCTTTAAACAGATGAATTGTGTGGTACTCGAATTATATCTCAATAAAGCTGTTTAAAAAAAATAAAAAGCAGTAAAACACACACACACATGCAAACGCCAATAGGACTCAATCCCAGGACAGGAGGGCAGTGGTGGAACCTCCAGCACTCAGGCTGGAAAGCCAAGCGGAGCCCCCATTGTGAGTGGCACGGCTGGGTGTCAGCCTCACCCACATCTGACGGGTCGCCCACCGTACAGACGGGAGGACGGGGCACAGGGTGGGCAGTTGGAGGGCCCAGGCAGGCCCCAGGAGCGGTTGGCTCTGGAGGCCTTGGGCAACTTCCCCTGTTTCTGACGGGAGGGGCCGGGCCCTGGGTCGGGGGTGTGTCGATGGCCAAGGCGCCAGGTATAAGGGCGCCACCATCCCAGCCACCCCCATCGGCCCCCGTCATGACGGCACTCAGACTGCTGGGCCTGCTGGCCGGCCTGCTGGCGACCTCCAGGGCTGGTGAGTGCCTGTCCCAGGCCAGACGTCCCCATCCATGCAGGGGTCCAGCTGCAGGGGACCGGCTCTGGTGGGAGGGACCAGCGGGCGCCAGCCCCTGCTTCCCTGGACTCAAGGCTCAGGGAGGGAAAGTGACCTGGCCCAGGCCGCACAGCCAGGCTGGCCCTGACCAGCCCTGGGAGGGTGGGCCCCTGTCCTTTTAGGGAACAGGGGGGCGGGAGGCCGGGGTCTCCCCAGGGATGGGGCTGAAACCGGGGGAGCTGCAATGCACCCTCTCCCCAGGCTTGGCCCCGCGGGCGGACATCGTGGGTGGCAGGAAGGCCCGGCGGCAGGAATTCCCATTCCTGGCCTCCATTCAGACCCAAGGGCGGCACTTCTGCGGGGGCGCCCTGATCCACCCCGGCTTCATCCTGACAGCCGCCAGCTGCTTCCAAAGCCGGTGAGGAGGGAGCCACAGGGTGGGGAGGGGGGCTCGGAGAGGGAGAGAGCTCGGGGGATTCCTGGGGGAGCGGTGCCTGGTAAGTGAGAAGGAGAGGGTCTTGGCGAGGGGGAGGGGTCTTAGGAAGGGTTGAGGGGCTTGGAGAGGGAAATGGGGGGACCCAGGATGGAAAGGGGGCCCAGGAGGGTCTCGATCTGGAAACAGAGGGGAGATACGGCTGCAGAAGGAAGCAAGGAGGCTTGACCATCACTGCTGTCCTTCCTTTGGCTCCTGGGCTGTGGTTCAGCGGGCTAGTAATTCCCTGCCCTATTTGCAAACCTGCTGTCCATCAATGCCCGGGCCCTGGGGCGGGTGTGGAAGGTTAGGGACTTCCCCACAAGCCCCCAGGACTGCCCCAGCCTGGTGTCTGCCCCCACCTGCCCTTAGCAACACCGGGACTGCCACTGTGGTGCTGGGGGCCCACAACCTGAGGCGGCGGGAGAGGTCCCGGCAGACTTTCTCCATCAGGAGCATCAGCGAGAACGGCTACAACCCCCAAGAGAACCTGAACGACGTGCTGCTGCTGCAGGTGGGGAGAGGGGTGGGGGGTGGGGGGCTGACGACGGCCTGGGGGGCTCAGGAGGGACGAGCCACGTGTACGGAGCCTGTGGTTAAGTCGTACAGCCAAGTGCACCATCCATTCAGCCATCCTCTGATCCTGGACACAGTAGCTGGGCCCACTTACCCTCCCACCAGCAGAATTTAAAACTGCCCATTTCTCTGCATCATTACTGACACTGCATAATATGATTTTTTAAAATCTTCTGTCAGTTGTGACAGGGGATGGTGCCTTGTTTTATCTGCATTTCCTGGGCAAGCGCTTCACCTTCAGGGTCTCTCAACCCCCTTTGCGATAAGAACGATTGATCCCTTCTCTGGAGGAACCAGAGGCCCAGTAAGGTAAAGTCACTTGGCCAGGACCCAAACCACTTTACAGACCAAAACTCATGTAGCTGCCGCCCTGGCTCCCAGCTGGGCCCCGTGAGGCTCTGGTCCCCAGCTCCGCCCTCTCCTGACTCAGTTTCCCTCCCCAGCTGGACCGTCAGGCCAACCTCACCAGCAGCACCGTGGCAGTGGTACCACTGCCCCCACAGAATGCCACGGTGGAAGCTGGCACCAACTGTCAGGTCGCAGGCTGGGGCGCCCGACGGCAGAGAGGGCGTCTCTCCCGAGTCCCAAGGGTCGTGAACGTCACTGTGACCCCGTCGGACCAGTGTCGCCCGAACAATGTGTGCACCGGCGTCCTCACCCGCCGGGGCGGCATCTGCCTGGTACGGGCTGGGCGTGAGCTGGGGTGGGCCCCAGGTGGTGGGAAAAGCAAGGACAAGTGCCAGGCTCTGGGCTGGGGGCTGGAAACACGACAGGGAACAGGACAGGGTAGGGTCTGCCCGTGTGGAGCCAGGGGCTCCCAGACCTTGTGGGTGGGGAAGTCAGGTGTCAAGACAAGGACGTGCACGGGACAGGCCCAGCCCCGGGCAGCAGGAAGTTCCTGGGGGCATGTGAGACCTGAGTTGCAGGTAGGAGTTAACCCAGCAAAGTTGAGGGAAAAGCGTGCAGGCAGCGGGACGGCACGTGCCAAGGGCCAGGGGCGGGGACAGGATTTGTGGGTGGCGTGAGCAGTGGTTCTGGGTGGGAGCAGAGTAGCGGGGCTGGGCCTGGGATGCCCTGACTCTCCTGCCGCCCTGCAGGGGGACGGGGGCACCCCCCTCATCTGCGACGGCCTGGCGCACGGCGTGGCCTCCTGGTCCCGGGGGCCCTGCGGCAGGGGCCCCGACTTCTTCGCCCGCGTGGCACTCTTCAGAGACTGGATCGACTCGGTTATAAACCAGCCAGTCGGACGTGCGCCAGCCTGACAGAACCCCAGCCCAGCCGGTGGGGGGCGCGTGAGCCGCCACGGAGCCAGCCCCCCACGCCTCTGTCCCATCCCGCAGCCCCACCCTGGCCCGCGCAGTCGTGACTCTAATAAAGGATCTGTTCCCGTTCTGTCCACGGTACCTGATTTCTGCTTTGCGGGGGCGGGAAGGGGCTGGGGGCCGAGCGCAGGGACATCTTCCGGCAAGAGTGGCATCCACCCCAGGGGCCTCCACTCACAGAATCCGCTCGCAGCCCTGAGGACCAGGGCCTCTTGTTATCTCCACCTGACGGAGGTGGCGCCAAGGCTCAGAGAGGTTGGGTGACTACCCTGAGGCCACACAGCCAGAGTGGGCTCTGAACCCACATCTGTGAGATTCCAGGCCCCCTTAACCGTCTCTCATTTTGGTCGAGAATACAGTCACCCCATAGTGTCTGCAGGGGCTTGGCTCCAGGACCCCAGTGGATACCCAAACCCACGGATGCTCCAGTCCCTCATATCAAACGCCGTAATATTTGCAAGTAACCTACGCACATCCTTCAGTGCACTTAAAATCATCTCTAGATGACTTAAAATACCTAATAAAATGTAAATGCTGTGTAAATGTAGTTGCCCGCCTACAGCAAATTCAAGTTTCGCTTTTTAGAACTTTCTGGAAATTTTTTTCCCACTTTTTTTTTTTTTTTTTTTTTTTTGCGGTACGCGGGCCTCTCACAGTTGTGGCCTCTCCCGTTGCGGAGCACAGGCTCCGGACGCGCAGGCTCAGCAGCCATAGGTCTAGCCGCTCCGCGGCATGTGGGATCTTCCCGGACCGGGGCACGAGCCCGCGTCCCCTGCATCGGCAGGCGGACTCTCAAGCACTGCGCCACCAGGGAAGCCCTTCCCAAATATTTTTGATCTGCGGTTGGTTGAATCCGCGGTTGGTTGAATCCGAGAAACTGGCTTTAGACTACTTGCCACTCGAATCGGTTAAAGAGCCTTATGTGAAAGGAACTAAAACATAAATGTTAACTAATAAATATAATTTTATAGGGACTTCCCCGGAGGTCCAGGGGTTAAGACTCCACGCTTCCACTGCAAGGGGCACAGGTTGGATCCCTAGTTGGGGAAATAAGATCCCACATGCCCCGCGGTGCAGCCAAACTATATATATATATATATATATGTATGTATTTATATATTTATATAAATGATATATAAAACATGACAAACATAATCGTATAAATAACATACAAAACATAATAAAAATAATTATATAAATTATATATAAAACATAATACACAGGGGCTTCCCTGGTGGCCCAGTGGTTGAGAGTCCGCCTGCCGATGCGGGGGACACGGGTTCGTGCCCCGGTCCGGGAAGATCCCACATGCCGCGGAGCGGCTGGGCCCGTGAGCCATGGCCACTGAGCCTGCGCGTCCGGAGCCTGTGCTCCGCAGCGGGAGAGGCCACAGCAGTGAGAGGCCCGCGTACCGAAAAAAACAAACAAACAAACAAACAAAAAACAAATAATATAGCTTATTAAACTAAATAAAATTGTTTCATTAAAATAAAAATTAAACCATACCTTACATTACATATTAGTATTTATTATATATTGTACTTGTATTTTTAAAAATATATACTTAGGGTCTTCCCTGGTGGCGCAGTGGTTGAGAGTCTGCCTGCCAATGCAGGGGACACGGGTTCGTGCCCCGGTCCAGGAAGATCCCACATGCCGCGGAGCGGCTGGGCCCGTGAGCCATGGCCGCTGAGCCTGTGCGTCCGGAGCCTGTGCTCTGCAACGGGAGAGGCCACAACGGTGAGACGCCCGTGTACCGAAAAAAAA